TTTCACGGCAAGGTTCTCTATGTACCTGGTCTGTCCACCATCTCTTAGGATATCTAGTAAGGCTGTTATTTCACCTGTTTATTTGATCACACCCCTTTTTTATTTTCCTTTAGTCTCCATTACCAACTCAAATATAATCACATAAACAAATAAACATGCATATAGTAATGCAATCATGTCTTAAATCCCAAATCAAACAGTAGTCAGGTAAAACAGTAATACATGCATTTAAACCATAAAATAGATAAATCAGATACTATCATACTTTTAGACTGTAAAATAATCAACAGAGAATAATGTTCGGTTCGGGCTCCATTAGCAATCCGTAATTAATTATGCATCTCTATTTAATTCCCTAGGTTCCTTAAATTTTTCTCTGAGAAGTGGAACGCGCTTATAATACCTATAAATGTTCCAAATAAACTCAAAATCAGTCCCAGGGCCTACTCGGCCAATTTTAAAAATCCAGCACAGCGGCGGTCTGCCTCGGATCGGTCGAGTTTGCATCGATTCCTGTGAGCACATAAGCTAAAGGGCCTCAGTGAGCCGAAAAAATACGAAAAACTGAAACTCACCGGCGACGGGGCACTCCAGTGTGGCGGCTCCTCCAGCTCATGTTGCAGTTGGGTGTTTCACTTCAGTCAATCTATAGAGAAGAAAATGGTGATCACAATGGTGGAAAAATTACGCGAAACGAGAATCGAAAATGACCTCATCAGAGGTGGTTTGTGAAATTCCCCACGGCAGCACAGTCGAACTTCGTCGGTGTTTTTATACCAATTGGCTGCTTCTTTCAATCCGATTTGGCCATGGATGAACTTAAAATTGAATTTCATGCAAAAGAAAAAGTTTTTACCTTTTTTGGTGGTCGGAAAGGGTTCTGGTGCGACGGCGGGTGGCGGCGATCGGCTCTCCGATGGATGGGTCGTCTTCTCCAGCGAGGGGTTCTGGCGGCTAGGGTTTGGGTTTGGTGCGGATGGGGGTTATTTATACCCATCTGCTTTTGATCTGAACCGTTCATCGTGTTTGATCTGGACCGTCAGATCGCGATTAAAAAGGAAGTGAATCTGGACCGTTCATCGCGATCCAATCTGGGCCGTCCATCCGATTCACTCTGAATCGTTCCACTTTTAATCTGGCTGTTTGATCACGTTTGGGAGGGAGCACATCTAGGCCGTCTATGCGCGCGGGAATGGACTTCAGTCGTTCGATTGTACGCACGCGGATCGCCCACGTGGCCCCCAAGTGTGGCCTCCTGCGTCAGTGTTTCTGCCACTTGGCGCGTCTTGGTTGTTCAAGGTTGCTGACCCGGCATCTGATGTAGCGAA